CTGTAAAAATTATTCCAGTGACAGGTTATTACATTGTTTACAAGTGTACAAAAGTATTTTGGTAAGAATTTTCCAGAAAGGGTTATTCGTGATGGAATTCAAGCATGATAGTGTGATGGCTATCGTTAGAGCACCCCAGCATTTAAATGTGAATAAATCTTTTGTGTCTCGTACCATCGCTCGTTACCGTGATACTGGTAGCGTAACCCGACAAGTCAAGTCAAGAAAGTGGACGGAAGAAAACAGCAACAATACCAGAAATGGTTCGAAAAGTAAAGAAGCGACTTGATCGAAGCCCCCGTCGCAATGGCTCGTGAGGATTCCATTCGGCAAATATTGCAAAATTAGCTCGGGGTAAAGCCATTGACATTCCAAAAAGTGCATGAACTTACACCTCAAGAGAAAGAATATAGACTCAGAAGAGCTAAGAAGTTGCTTCGCATGGCCGAATGTGGTAAACTGCCGAATCTTGTTCTCTCCGATGAGAAAACATTCGTTGTCCAGCAGTTTGTAAACTAACAAAAAGATCGTGTTTACTTGCCAAAGAGATCAGTTGAAAATGTGCACCTTCGGTTGCCCACCAGAACTCAAGCGCCAGCCATGATGATGATGTGGGCCGCCATAACAGCCGATGGTCGCTCTCCGCTCGTATTAATCGACGGTGGCATCAGAATAAATGCCGAATATTATCGCGAAAATATTCTGGAGTGTGTATTAAAGCCTTGGGCACGCAAACATTTTGGCCGCAGACCTTGGACATTCCAATAGGACTCAGCACCATCGCACTCAGTACGCGCCACCCAAGAATGGTTACAAAATAAGGCTCGTCGCTTCATTTCCAGCGCACAATGGCCACCAAAATCTCCGGATACCAATCCGTTGGACTATTGTGTTTGGAGTATTTTAGAAAGCTATGTTGGCACTAAAAAATACCAAAGTGTCGATCACTTCGCCAGGAATGGGCCAAAATTCCGCAGAGCAACATTCGGGCAGCGTGTGACGATTTCATTGGCCGTTTGAAGGCCATAATTCGTGCCAATGCTGACCAATTCTAAAAAATCTAAACTTACTCTAAAATTTGATAACATCAAATTTTCCGACTGTTTCTACCTCCATTCAATAAAATTAAAAAAAAAAATGTAAAAATTATGACGTTTGACTTTTTATCTCAACCTATATTTCTATCTGTGCTAGATTAGGTGCGAATAATTATAATTCTCATAAAGTGCGAAATAAGCACCCAACTCTATTTAAATTTCACACATCCCAATATTTTCACTAACGCACGATCTGGTGGATGATGACATATATCTCTTTTTACTTGGGAAACAGGTCAAACTCTTCCACACCTTCTCTAACCTTTAGATTAACAATTCTTCAGAACTACCCCCATAGAGGGTCAATCGTTTGAATCATCATAACGCAAGCCAAAATATATTGAAGTAAACGGATTGTGTCTGTCGGCAAAACTTACTGATACTTTTTAGCGCGTCTTTTTAAGAAACTAAATTTTGATACGCAGTGTAGTCGATAGTATCGAAGTCAAATGTTAACAACTTTTATGGAATTTCTTGTTCCAGAAGAATGTAAACATAGATATTTCTATACCAGTATAAAATCAGTTATAATCGTTACGAGAACATGGTGATAATTCTGAAGTATGCTAAAGGAATTGACTTGAACTATATTTAAACACTTGACCTTAATTTCCAGCACATTTCTTGTAATCCGTTTGTAAAATCATACAGAGTAAAATTAAGATTTCTAATCGCTGGACACATTCGGATCAGTAGGACCTATATCTTACATTTCTGAATATTTGTCTTTTGACAACCTTGAATGTTTCATTATTTTGTTGTTTTGTTAAAGCTGGATCCGGTGGCTTCCCTCTTATATTTTATTATTATTATTTTTTTTTTTTTTTGTAAAAAAGGCCCTAAGATGCTTTCTTTATATTTCTCTTCTGCATATTCTGATTAAACCATGCTATAAAATTTATTCGATTCGACAATAACATAAAGTATGAAAATAATTTTCCCTCTTAAGTAAAAAAATACTGGCATAAGCTGTTCTAGATTAAAAACAACTTTTACTATTTTTTTTTTTTCAAAGTCATCCTATTCATGCTTTTCTGCGTAATTCAATTAAGTCGTTTGAGAAAAGCAAATTTCAACAACTGTCTGAGGGTTTCCTTGTAACACACCATAGAAAGACACAAAACTAACACTCAAACCTTGACGGGAGAATGGCATAGACTTTTCTCATTATGGTTGTCTAAGAATTTGAATTAATTTATTTTTTGGAGAATTTTGCTGAAAAATGTATGACAAGGTTACGATTTCATATTTTGTGGTCGTAGCAAATGAATAAGCTTTGGCTGCGGACTGGCGCATTATCATCAAAGAAAATGGCATGAAGCAGATATGATAAAAAAGGACTCCGGCATAGTGAAATGGTGTTGCATGTTTTGGCAAGGAAGTGCCTTCTACATAAAATTCCACTTGTGTAAGAGTGTTTGAATGTCCCTTAGATACGCTATACAGATTTCTCGAAATGTTCAGAGAATGTAACGACATACAACCTTGGTGGAAAAAAGCTAATTTGATGTGTTGATTTTCGAAGTGTGTGTGGAACCCAATTTCTTTCAAGCGGCATATTTTTAAAGCATATAAACATATTGTATAAGAAAATAGCATAAGAGACAATTGTCATTGGCTTTCGACAGTCTTCTATCTCTCAATCTAATGTATTTTAACAAGTCTTTGCTATCTTGAAATGTTATGGACGAGAGAAGTGGCATCGCATCGTATTATAAGAGATACAAACCTCAAATTTACAATGAGTTTGAGTGGACGTAATCGCCAACCACGCCCCCTTATTTCACAATCTTATCACTTAGAAAGCATTCATTGATTAGGCGGGAGTTTTTATAGCAGAGGCCAAAGCATCAAATTTTTTATTAAATACTACATTTATAAGCAGTGTTACATATATAATATGAAAGGGATGTTCTTTTAGGTAAGTATTAGAGACCTAGAGCTTGGTGTGTAATGTTTGGAGCACCTTATAGCCAATTTGGGATTATTGTAACAAATATTTATATTTTACCGAATGGAAAAATTATTAACAGTTCGATGTCCTCGATTCGCTTCATTTTATCGGATAGCCATTAAATACCATTAAAAATTTCGATGTTGCAAAATTGTCAGGCTTAATCCCTTTATTTTTGTTAATATAAAACAACGTTTATTTATTAGTGGAGAACGATGGAATTGTTTACCAGGGGGTAAGGCAGGGAATACCAAGAGCCACCAATCCTCATCGGTTATTTCCGAAAACTAGGTATTCCCTGCGTCGTTACCCTGATACTGGTAGCGTAGCCCGACGTCAAGGAAGTGGACGGAAGAAATCAGCAACATCAGCAGAAATGGTTCGAAAAGTAAAGGAGCGACTTGATCGAAACCCGCGTCGCAGTGACCGAAAATGGCGCGTGAGCTAAACATACCGCAATCTTCCATTTAGCAAATGTTAAAAAATGAGCAACAGACCGCAACAAAAAGAAAATAGTCTCAAAAGAGCTAAAGAGCTGCTTCGCTTGGCCGAAAGTGGCGAACTGCCGAATTTGGTTTTCTCCGATGAGAAAACATTCGTTGTCCTGCAGTTTGTAAACATTGTGTTTACTTGCCAAAGAGGACAAGGAAAATGTGCACCTTCGGTTGGCCACCAGAACTAAAGCGCCGGCCATGGTGATGGTGTGGGCCGCCGAAACAGCCGATGGTCGCTCTCCGCTCGTATTAATCGACCGTGGCATCAGAATATATGCCGAATATTATAGCGAAAATATTCTGGAGGGTGTATTAAAGCCTTGGGCACGCAGCACGCGCCACCTACGAATGGCAACAAAATGAGGTTCCTCGCTTTATTTCCATTGCACAATGGCCACCAAAATCTCCGGATACCAATCCGTTGGACTATTGTGTCTGGAGTATTTTGGAAACCAAGGTTGGCACTAAAAAATACCAAAGTGTCGATCACCTCAAGCAAGCGCTTCGCAGGGAATGGGACAAAATAGCGCAGAGTAACATTCGGTCAGCGTGTGACGGTTTCATTGGCCGTTTGAAGGCCATAATTCGTGGCAAAGGTGACCAATTCGAACAAATCTAAACTTATTCTAAAATTTGATTTCTGACATTTTTTGCTTTCATTCAATAAAATTAAAAAAAAAATTAAAAATTATGGTGTTTGACTTTGTTGCAGTTTTCTTATTTCACCCTGTATGTTGTCGAATTTAATGAAAACTTTCCTTCACAAAATGTTGCCCTTTTAACTCAATTTTTTCATTGCCCTTTTCGTCCTGTTTGAGCACACGAATATTCAGAAAAAATATTTCTTAGAAAATTTTTTGTAGAGGTCTTGAAACTAAGGGTGTCATATTTCCGTGGCCTTTTTAACTTTAATTTGACTTTGATTTAAAACTTTGACACAACATATTCAATATTTAAAATGGACCACACTGATCCGATTTTGACAAAGGCATGATATAGCGGTATCCTCGCAATTTTCTAGCATTTTGTAGGATTAAGCAATATTTCCGAACCTAATTAAGTGTAAATTACCAAAAAAGGGGATGATTTTAATTTAATATATTATTAGATTAATTTTGTTCTTTGTTGTTTTTGGTATAGTCTAATTTTTTTTCTAAAATAAATATTGAGGCTTATTTATTGTTATTGTTTTAAATATTTATTATTTTTGGTAAAACCAATGGCAATAATTTATGAAACGAAACAGGTATATATGTATTTAGGCAAACCGCAAAGCATTTTTCACTTGAGGTTGCTTTCAGTCTCGGGTTCTCACACACACACACACACAACCAGTAAACATTGGCTAATGTTAAGTAGTGGGAGTCATGTATTTATTATTATTATATCAAATTTGAGTAAATACATCCTCTCATATCAATACTACTACTAATAGTAATCCAAATTAATACTCACTTTATTCGATTATAAACCAACAATTCCGCAATATCACGACCCAAGCCCGAATAGGTGGTTTCCACAAAGACCAATACCTTCGGATCGATACGTAAGCGGGCCTCGGTGCGATGATCTGGGGCCGGTGAAACACCCCTTGCATGTTTCCCGCTACTCATGCGACATTTGATGATTGGTGTTGGCCGTGTGTCACGCTGTATTAACCTGCAATTATTGAGATGGAGAACAAAATTAACAAAACAAAAAAAAAAACTACAACAACAATAAATGCATAAACAAATAAAACAATTTGAAATAGTTGTGGATGCAGTTGTATAAAACACAAATACAAAGAATTCGATTCAAAAAAAACTACGGACAAAGCAAATATTCTGCTGCTGCTGCTGAAATCCGCATAAATAAAACCACAAAAACGCATAAAAAAGAGACATGGTTTCGGTTGGTGGTTTATTTGTCTTTGTTTGACCCCCTACTCTGGCCGTTATGGGGTATATGGTTGGGCCAATGGCGGCAGCGGCTACTGATGTAACCATGACCACTAACAGCCGTACAAAAAAAAAAGCGAACAAGCAACCGAGAACAACGAGAACTAGGATCACATTACATGTGCCAAGTAAAAGGGCACAATTGTTGTTTGATTGTTCAATTAATAGCCGGGTTAAATCTCTGTCCACAGCAATTGTGTATGGCCAAGAGTATAACAGCGAATGTCATGTCATTGTAACCGAACATATTCATTCATGTTTATTTTTATGTCCAGTGTACATTAGATCATATCAACGGTGTTAACGAGAGTTTGTGTTCATTTTATTTATGGTCACAGATTGATGATTGATGATAGTGTCACAGGTTTGCCATTATGAAGCAAAGAAACGTATGATATCGGAATATTCAAAAAAAATATAAAGTTTTTGTACCTTCCATTTTGCCATTTCATTTTGTAACTCCTCGAACTACCAAGTCACAAGTACACATATTCTTAATACGCGTAAAATTCTAAGTCGATTTAGCGATGTCTATCTACCTGTCTGTCTCTTGTAACCACACTATCTTTCGAACGAATTGAGATAGAAGGCTAAGATATTGCACATATGCGTATTTTGCCAATAGGCAGCTTAAGTTCGTAAATGGTTTATGTCGGTCCACGTTTTCGTGTAGCCCCCATATAACGGTACGTCTTAACATTCGGTATTTTAACGATTTTAGCTACGTCATTTACAGGAATTGTTTCGAATTTCGAATTTTAAGATATTAATAGGTACTGCAAACCAATAAAATCAAGGTAGGGCTATTATACGATATAATTTTATTTTATTTTATTTCTTTTCTTGGCTTAATATGTCAACTTTATTTGTTTAGGCATGTGTATTCTTTTCAATGATGAAAAAATTTTCAGAAAATACTCATATGCTTATTGCAACGTATGCATCGAAAAAATCTACGGTTTTTGTTGCGAAATAAACCTTTAGAGAAATATAGAACATGATTTTTAAAAGAAATTTTGACCTTTCATTCAGTTTTCGTGGTACTCAATTATTTATTCAAAATCAATACAACAGTTTAATTGTTTTGATAGCAATTCTGACATAACAAGACAAACAGGTAGACCTTTATACATGCAATTTTTTCAAACTTCTTCTTCATTGTACCATGCTACAACCTATGTCAAAAAGTTACTTATGCAGGTACAAGTCTTCGTATAGACGCTATATAACGGTACTTCTCAATATTCGGTATTTTATGATTTTAGAGACATTATAGACCAGAATTGTTTATGATTTCGTAATAAATGTTCGCAATGGGTACTGCAGCCTAAAATAGAAAATTTTCTGTGCAGGTCCACGTCTTCATATAGCCCCCATTAACCGGTACCTCCCGATATTCGGTATTTGGATGATTTTAACGACATTATTCACCGAAATTGTTTCAAGTTTGGTTTTTAAAGTTTTCGTAATGGATACTAAAGGGTGTTTTTTTAAGCCGGATAGAACTTAAAATTGTAAAAAATACTCAAAAAATTTAATTTTAATCACATTTTTTTTTTTATCCGAAAGATCAATACGTGACAATAACATTTGAAAATGATTTCGGGCATATGGGCACCGCGGCTGTTCTTGACGAAGTGCATTCTGGACGTCCAATTTTTGGCCACATTTTCGAGCACTTCTGGCTGTATGTCACGAATAACACGAACAATGCGTCAATTGTTGCTGGTTTATCAGCATAAACCATCGACTTCACGTAGCCCCACAGGAAATAATCGAGAGGTGTCAAATCGCACGACCTTGGAGGTCAATTGATAGGTCCACTTCTCGTAATCAACTTATCGCCAAATTTTGATTTCAATAGGTCGATGGTTGCATTCGCCGTATGACAGGTAGCGCAATCTTGTTGAAACCACATCTCCTCCGGATCAATTTCATCCAAATTTTTTAACAAAAAATTAATGATCATGATGCGGTAACTATCTCCATTGACCGTAATGCGAGCTCTGGGTTCATTTTTCAAGAAATATGGTCCGATGATGCCACCAGCGGGAAAACCGCACCATACCGTGCATTTTTCTGGATGTAATGGAGTCTGTAGGGTCGCTTGTGGATTGGTCTCACTCCAATGCGGCAATTTTGCTTATTAACAAACCCGTTAAGCCAAAAAAGCGCCTCATCGCTGAACACAATTTTGCGATAAAACAACGGGTCATTTGCCAACTGCTCTAGAGCCTGATTTTTAAAGTAAATTTGGATAATTTCGTAGCGTTGTTAAAGCGTGAGAAACAAATAAAAAAAGTTTCATCAAAATTTATTTTTTTTGTGTTACTTTTTACAATTTAAAGTTCTATCTAGCTTAAAAAACACCCTTATAGCCTATGACAAAAAATTGCGTATGCAAGTCCACGTCTTCGTAGGGCCCCAAAATAACCAAACCTCCCGATATTCGGTATTTTGATGATTTCAGCGATTTTATTCACGGAATCAAATTTCGTATTTGAAGTTCGTAATGGATACTACAACCTATGACAGAAAATTGTCTATGCCGGCCCACGTGTACCTCCCTTTATTCGGTATTTTGATGATATAAGCGACCTTTTTCATCGGAATTATTCCAAATTTCGTATTTAAAGTTCGTGGTGAGTACTACAACCTGTGACAGAAAATTGTCTATGCAGGTTCAAGTCTTCGTATAGCCCACACATAACTTTACCTCTCTGTATTCGGTATTTCGATGATTTTAAAGACATTATCCACCGGAATTGTTTCAAATTTCGTATTTTATGTTCGTAATGAGTACTACAAAGTATGAAAAAAAATGTCTCTGCAGGTCCACGTCTTCGTATAGCTTACACATAATGGTACCTCCCTTTATCCGGTATTTTAATGTTATTAGCGACATTATTCATCGGAATTGTTTAAAAATCTGTACTACAGCATATGACAGATGATTACCCATGTAGGTCGACGTCTTCGTATAGATCCCATATAATGGTATGCATTTAAGCTGTATTTTAAGACGGCTTTTTTTTTTTTTTTTTGAAAATTTTCAAGTTCTTTCCCAATGGTGGAGGGTATTAAAAGCCGGCCGAACTTAGCTACTTTTTTACTTGATATTTTATGTGTGTGTATGCTACACTATTTAATTTCAAGTAAAATTTAAACACTCCAAATTTCTAAAACATGGAGACACTTATATTGTAGATTTTCTCCAATAGGCGGAGTTACATTCCAAAGAAACAAAACAAAACAAATTAACACGGTACAGCACAGCGATTTCCAAGTAAACAAGAAAGAATTTTGTTCTTATTTACTTCCTTATAGTGCTTCAGAAAAAAGTCCTACTAGTATTACTAAGTGTCTTCCATGCCTCACCTTCATTAATTGAATTAACGAATGTCAAAATGTACATTCCAAAATCCAATAAAAAGTATGTTCTTTGATAATTGGATAACGCCAAGATTAGCTTAATTACACCGATACATGGACCTACATGGAACCATGACCCCTGCAATATCGAAAACGTGGGGGAATCGTCTTTTTATATAGGGACGGTACCAAAACGTGGGACAAAATTAATTATTTTTTTAATAGAAAAATAAACCGAGTACCATAAACACCATTCGGAATCACAGCCCAGACTGCCTATTGACTAGTGACAATATAAGATAATTTTGCAGAGTATTCGGAAAAGTTATTTTCTCTTTTGTCGACAATAAAAATACAAAAATTGATGATATTTTTTGTTCGAAGAGTCACAATGAGATTTGATATTGAATATTTCTTCTTTTGACACTTTTCCCATAAAATGAAGTATTGAGGAAGACTTTGTCTTAGAATTAAAAAGAGTATAATTAGCAGAAAAGAGCGTAAAACATATTTTTATACCCTCAGTCATAGATTTTAGACCCTAGGTCCCTTTTTGACTAAATCGTTTGGAGTCGATCTAGCGTATATCTCAATATTTCCATCAATACAAGATCTATTATAAAGACGGTAGAGGTCAGACCATTTCTTCTGGCACCCCTCCCCCCACATGGGTTTCAAGATTTCGAAAAATAAAACGCTCAAAGAAAGCGAAATAAGCTTTCAACTCACTCCAAATTTCACACATACAAACATTTTTGCTAAGAAAAGATCTGGTACCTCAACACATAACCTGTTATAACCTGCGAAATAAGTCAGCGATTCTTTACAACTTCCTATATCTAAATATTTTTCTCAACCAGAAACCTGAGATGAATATTGAATTTATCGGAACTTATGATTTGATTGAATATAATATTTCGATTTTCCTGTAATTTCCCATATCAATATTTATATGTATTAGTCGACTATATCGGGTACCTCACATACATTTTAAAATTTTCTAAAAATCACATATCTCATATAAAGTGAAGGAAGTAGTCACTATATAATTCAAAAGTGACACGTACCAATATTTATTTAGGTCCAATACGAAATGGGCAATATTGGTCCATTCCTTCGGAACCTACTCCATAGAGGGTCAACAATTTAAATAATCATAATCGAAGTCCGAAAATATTTTAATAATCGAACTTTGGCTGAGGGTATACAATTGTCGGCAAATCCGACTGATACTATTTAACTTGTTTTGATTAATTTTCCTTCGGACTTTCTTCTTTTTTTGACTTTCAGGCGACAACAGAAAGTCAAAAAAAGTAACATTCTTTGATCCCGTTCCTCGTATTTTTA